CCTCCTGGGTTCAAGTGATTCTCCTGCCTCAGCCTCCTGAGTAGCTGGGATTACAGGCACATGCCACCATGCCCGGCTACTTTTTGTGTTCTTAGTAGAGACAGGGTTTCACCATGTTGGTCAGGCTGGTCTCAAACTCCTGACCTCGTGATCCACCCACCTCGGCCTCCCAAAGTGCTGGGATTACAGGCGTGAGCCACCGCACAGTGTGCAAATCAAATATTTTCTATCTTCTGATCTACAAATGTGAATGTTTCAGATAATAACAACATCGGCTACCATTTATATAGTGCCTAGGGTAGGCACTTTAAATTATTTACGTTGTCAGGTTTTCAAATTATGGTAAATTTGGAATTATTTCCCCTACCTTACATAAAGAAAATGGAGGTTGAAAAAGTTAAATAATTCACACAACTAATAAGTGATAGCATTGGGATTCGAGCCCAAATTTGCATGACTACAAAGCCTGTTTCTACTATACCAACTTAATCTGTTTTAAATTTTTTCATGTTGCAAAATGATAATAATGTTTCACAGTCATTTTTCATGGTGCTAGAATTCGTGTTTATAAAGTACACTGAATAAAGGAAATTAGTATATCAGTTAAAAGGATTATTTGGGGAGCTTTCTTGGTAAAGTACTCTCAGGACATCTGTTCAAATGATGAATGAACTAAACTGCAAATTAGTGTCCTTAGTGGTTCTCCACAGAATCCTGATGAATAAAATAAGTTGATTGCTTCCTTTTGTGGTAGAGATATTTTACCTGATTCACAAAAAGCTTTTTCAAAGTGGGAACCGGAGGGAATTGCCACTTTATTTATTTATTTATTTTTTGAGACGGAGTCTTGTTCTATAGCTCAGGCTGGAGTTAGTGGCATGATCTCAGCTCACTGCAACCTATGCCTCCTGGGTTCAAGCGATTCTCCTGCTTCATCCTCCTGAGTAGCTGGGACTGTAGGTGCCTGCCACCACACCTGGCTAATTTTTATATTTTTAGTAGAGATGGGGTTTTACTCTGTTGATCAGGCTGGTCTTGAACTCCAGACCTCAATTGATCTGTCTGCCTCGGTGTCCCAAAGTGCTGGAATTACAGGCGTGAGCCACCATGCCTAGTTGGAATTGCAACATTTAATCCAATTCTAAATATCTTTTTGTAAAAAGCAATTAAAGTAAAATGTGTAAGTAATACCTAATACATTTTACCAGCAATTTCAACTTCCTTCCCTTCCGCTCATCTTTGGCATTGTTGTTATCAGATGGGAACCAGATCAAAATTCCCTTTTCCTCTGCATCCTAACAGGGGCACCAGTGCCTTCAGTTTGTCTGTTCAGCACTGTGCCAGACTCTCAGAAGAATCAAAGAGGAAGATCTCTGCCCTCTAGACATTTTCACAAAAGACCATTAGCAGACATTCACAGTCAGTCCTGCTTGGGAGTCTTTAGTAATCCTGATGCATTCTGGATATTTCTTACCCCAAATACCTTGGGCTGCTCCATCTAATTCTGAGTCTTCACTAGGGGTATAACATTAGACTTACTGTGTAGTGTATGGTCCTTGTGGAAGGAATAAACCATGACAGATCACCAAGTATCTAGTGTGGAATGGAACATAGTAAGGAAGCCTTTTGTCCCTTGGTTTTTCAGATGGGAATCTGAGCCATTATGTCAAAAAATTTACTTCCAATTTATTCCTTACTGAAGGTGAGATAGGTGGGCTTTCTGGGCTGGTTTTTCCTGTGGTGGGGGTGGACCTGTGTGTCAGAAGCCACCTGGGTAGCTTACTTAAAATGTAGATTGGGGGCCGGGTGCGGTGGCTCA